TGTTGTTGCGTGTTGGCTTGGTGCAGCTGATCTTCCAGCTCACTGATTCTTTTCTCAGCTGTGGTTATTCTATTTTTGAGGGCACAGAGTGAGTTTTTGATTTCATCTATGGAATCTGTGATCCGTGCCATTTCTGTGTTAAGCTTTCCAATTTCCGCTCTCATTTCTTGCTATATTTTGTCGATTGTGCGATCAATTGTTTCTTTCATGTCCTCTTTCAATTTTGCGGATATCTGTCTGACTGTTTCATTGAGTTGATTGAACATCTTAATGACTTCATATCTGAATTCCTTGTCAGAGAGGTCCCTAAGGTGGCTAGCACCTACTGAGGCTTCTGGACTTATTTCCTCGTCGTCTTCCTGTGGCGGGGATTTGCGCTGTTTCTCCATGTTGTTGTGTAGGTGTAGGGGTCAGATTTCTTGATTTGAGTAAACTACCTGTGGCCGTGTGAGCGTTGGCCGGCTGAAAATTAGGCCCAGCTCACTTTTAAAAAGCCATGCCCACTTCTAAAGTTGCCACACCCCTACGGATACCTGGTATGTGTCGGGGAGTAAAAACTGGGTGGGAAGAAGAGACCAGCTCAGGTTGGCCACGGAAAGGGAGAGGCAGAGAGGCTCAGATCTGCTTTGTTTCCTGGTGTCCGGGGGATGCCTCAGGGCTTGCACGGTGGAATCCAAGTCCTGGGTCCGAGAAACGGCGTGAAGACTGACCTGGTGGTTGGGGAGGAGAGACAAGCTTGGCTTGGGCAGCGGAAAGGGAGAGCCAGAGAGGCTCAGATCTGCTTTGTCTTCCGGCGTCCAGGGGACGCGTCGGGGCTTGCACGGTGGAATCCAAGTCTTTATTTTTTAAACTGAATCACTGTGAGCTACAGTTACAAAGCTTTCATGTTTGAGTTCCGGTTATACAATGATTGAACATCCATCCTTCCACCAGTGCACATTTTTCATCACCAATGTCCCCAGCATCCCCACATTCCACCCTTCTCTCTGCCTCTATGGCAGCCAATTTCCCCTATACTCTCTCTCTACTTCTGTGCACTATGGTTTGCACTACAGATATTGAGAGGCCAACGGATGCTATTTTAAATAGAGCATTATTTTCTAATTCTCTCTTCTAGTTCTTTAACTGAATATTAAAATTTACTTAGTTTAATTTAATTTAATTTGTGGTGTTGTTCCTGGAGGCATTTGGGTTTAACTCCTAGTGTTACTCAGAATGCAACAAGTGCCAGGGACCAAACCCCAGGACTACTGAATGCAAAGAATAAATGCCAGATTTTTTTTAAAGGTGAGCTTTTTTTTAATTGAATCACCATAAGATACAGTTACAGACTTACAAACTTTCATGATTACATTTCAGACATACAATGATCAAGCACTCATCCCTGCATCAGTGCCCATTCTCCATGACCAGTGTTCCCAGTATCCCTCCCACCACCCTTCCCCCATCCCACACCCCGCCTCTGTGGCAGGCACATTCCCTCTTACTCTCTCCTTTTGGGTGTTATGGTTTGCAATACAGATACTAAGAGGCCATCATGTTTGGTCCATAGTCTACTTTCAGCACTCATCTCTCATCCTGAGTGAGCCCTCCTATCATCATTTACTTAGTGGTCCCTTCTCTGTCCCAGCTGCCTTTTTGCCCAGCATGTGAGGCTGGCTTCCAACCTGTGGAGCAATCTTTCTGGCCCTTGTCTCTACTATCTTTAGGCGTTAGTCTCCTATTATGTTACTTTATATCCCACAAATGAGTGCAGTCCTTCTATGTCTTTCCCTCACTTTCTGACTCATTTTACTTAGCATGACACTCTCCATATCTATCCACTTCTACGCAAATTTCATGATTTCATCTTTTCTAACAGCTGCATTTATATAAATGCATTTCAGCAACCCCCCAACTCCCATCAAACCTTTCCCCCTATTATTTTAAATGATTTATTTATTTATCTACAATAGCATTGCTATTTAAGCCTTTGGTTTACAGAGTGATATACCCTCAACGTTGTCTCCATCTCTCTAATTCTCTATTGTTCCTTCTGAAGACTGCAGGGTATAAAGCAATAAGGTGGGGACTGTAGAAAAGCAAAGTCATTGGCAATATCTACTTTGTGCATTTTATTTACATGTGATACTCAGGGAAATTTTGCTGGGAACATTGCACTGAGTGCGTGATTCATTGATCCAGAGACGATCTCTACAAAGTCCTGTGATGCTTAGAGATCATAGTAGCAGCATAGGTGAAGCCTTGCATGTGGGCGAGATTCTAATATTCTCATGTTCTCCCTCTCCTGGAACTTGGATTAACTCCAAGTATTTCAACTTGGAATACCTCATGGTATTTTTTTTTTTGTGACTTTTTTTGGGGTGGGGGTCACACCCAGCTATACTCAGGGATTACTCCTTGTTCTGCATTCAAGAATCACTCCTGGCAGTGCTTGGGGTACCATGTGGGATGTCAGGAATAGAACCCGGGTCGGCTGCATGGAAGACAAACACACTACCTGCTGTACTATCACTCCGGCCGGCCCCCCTCATGTTATTTTGTAAACTTACCTCCTGATTAAACCTGGGTTTTAGTATCCTGGGTTTAGTGTTTGCTTCCAAGTTAGCAAAGCATTGAAAAATTAGTAAGATGTTTCAAATGATATGTCCCCCTAACTTTTGAAGGCACTGTGGCTCTAAGAGAAGACATTGGTTTTAAAAATATTGGGTAATCTATGCCTTATTTAAGAGAAGTACCTTTACAAACACTCGCTTAAGAGCAATAACGAAATGCTTCTAAATACATAAGTAAAAAGTTTATCTAGCTCTGGAAAGAAAGATGGCGGCCGCACGGGAGCCTTGTGGAAAGCAGGTTTGAGCCGGGGCTGGCGGGAGCGGCAGGGACCTCATGGGAAGGGGGGCTTTGTGGGCCGTCCCCCACGCCCCACCGAGGTCGCCAGCTGCCCCCCACGAGCGGCTCTCCGGCACGGCCACGACTCCAGGGCACAGAAACCAATCTCTTAACTAGCTAACTTTTAATAGAAATTCTTCCAGGGTCAATAAGTAAAATAGCAGAAATTCAAAACCGCGCGGCCGCTATTGCGGCCGCGCGACATCATTTTATTCTTAAACCAAGTTGTAGAAAGCAAATCATTTCACAACGCTGTTTCAGCATGTCTGATTGTGGGGGGTGGGTCGTAAACTCTAAACAATAATTGTGCATCTTCTATCGAAATAATCTATCTAGTCAAAGTAGATAGAGTATTAACTAGAACTCATCTGCCTCACAGGAATTGGGAGGGGCGGGAGGTGGGGGTCTATTGGGGTTCGGGGTTAAAAATGAGTATTGGTAAAGGGAAATGTGTTTGGTATCTACATGACTGAGACCTAAACCCGAAAGCTCTGTAACTTTTCCCACAGTGATTCAATAAATAAATAAATTATAAAAAATAAAAAAAATAAAATCTTTGGAAGGAAAAAAAAAGTTTATCTACGCGCCAGGATGTTTTCACCCAGAGTGTGATGGGTGGGAGGGTGGGAGCCCTCCCTGCCCCAAGGGACCCAGCCCCAGCAGCTGACCTCCACTACCCAACCACCGCCACGCTCCAGGCTGCTTTCCGGACTTCGTGGCTGCTTCGCAGCTGCATGGCACATCATAAGACACTTCTTACCCATTTTCCATAATTACCAAATCATATTTGATGGGGCTCAGACAGTAGGCGACAAATCATAGAGAAATCTATCTCTATCTATCTATCTATCTATCTATCTATCTATCTATCTATCTATATCTCGGAGAGCCCGGCAAGCTATTGAGAGAATCCTGCCCAAACCGCAGAGCCTGACAAGCTCCCCGTGACGTATTTGATATGCCCCAAACAGTAATGATAACAGGTCTCATTTTTCTGACCCTGATAGAGCCTCCAATCGTTGGGAAAGACGAGTAAGGAGAGGCTATTAAAATCTCAGGGCTTGGAGGAATAGAGATTTTACTGGCGCCCTCTCGAGTAAATCGATGAACTACAATGGGATGACAGTGATACAGTGACACAGTGATCTTAAAGAAAAGAATTCACTGTCAAACTGGAGATAGTTTTAGATTCTTGGTTTAGAAGGTGTATTTGTTTACTATTCTGTAGCATAATTAACTCAATGGCTTTGCAGCTGTCAAAGTTGAAAAGTCATAAATTTCATTCAGAGAAACTCTGATGTTAATATTGAGATGGTTGAAATGGGACATCAGAATCAAAGTGTCCAGGTGATTTTTCTCTAGAAAGAAGGAGGACCAAGTTTTCATTTGAATTTTTCTCTAGGAAGAAGGAGGACCACGTTTTCATTTGAATTTTCTTTTAATTTTCGTTTCATATAAATTTTTTCATATATTTTTAAATGAATCACCGTGAGATACAGTTATAGACTTACAAACTTTTGTGATTACATTTCAGTCAGACAATGATTGAGTACCCATCCCTCCACCAGTGCCCATTCTCTACCACCAATGTTCCCAGTATCCCTCCCTCCACCCCTCCATCCTGCACCCCCTCCCCCCGCCTCTGTGGCAGGCACTTTCCCTCTTACTCTCTCTCTCCCTTTGGGTGTTAGGGTTTGCAATATAGGTGGTAAGCTGTCATCATGTTTGGTCTACTTTCAGCACGCACCTCCCATCCCAAACAAGCCCTCCAAGCATCATTCACTTAAAGACTATATTTCTAATGACATTATTTCCCTCTTTTTCTTCATCTGCTACAATTAGGGGATCCCCAGAGACTGGACTAAGAAGAAAAGATGGCTCTCACCTTGAGTCCTGTGATTGGTCCCTCAAGGCCATGGAGGAGTAATAAGGACTCAGGCCTGCAGCCCTGGAGGATATTTCTCAGTGAGGCTCCTACCCGTGTCCATTTCACCATCATCACCTGTGCAGGTTCATGCCTGATTTTGCCTTCCTTCCCGTCCTGAGCACGGAATATCAGCTCTCATCACTCACGAGGGAGGAGAGAGCCGGGGGTCCCAGCTCCAAGCATGAGCCAGCAGAGTCCCAGCAGAGACCAGTGAGTGGTGAGGGGGTGGTGAATAGGGGTGCCCAGTTCTGACTCTTCTCTCCTCATCCGGGAAAGTGGGACAGGGAGACAGATATATGCATCGTTTCGATGCAGACACATGGGGAGCCCATGCTTGCTTTTCCTGTTGGGGGTTTCAGATCTCTCAGGAGAAATATTGCTCTCTCTACCAGGACTTCTTGCTTGGATTCGCCTGGCCCAAAAAAGAATCTCTCCAAACTCCTCCCCAGGCAAGCAAAATGTTCACCGATCTGGAGATGCTCATTACGGTGTTGAGGAGAAAGGAGAAATCATATCATTGCTAGTGGCTTTCTGTGAGCCTCTTTGATGGATATGCACAGAATTTTACATTGTTCTCTGCAGACTCACCCACAGCTGTCATTGTACACTTGAGTATTTGAGTTGAGTATTTCACAATTGAGGACAAAAACCACAAGGTTCTTTTTTTATTCATTAAGGTAATATTGGACCCAAGTATGCAAATATTTCTGTATTTTAGTGGGACAATGTTACCTTGTCACCATTTTAAAACTGGTTCTGAATATAAAAAATTATGAGAAGTCAGTTTTGGACCTGAGCAACCACAACTCAACCTTCCCTTTCATTCCCCAGGTCCCTCCTGATGTATAGCCTGTGGGACAGCAGCTCTCTGACTTTGATTGCCGACTCCCCTGCACCTACAAGATATTGGCATGGCATAGGGAACTAAAAAACTATTTAGTTTTTCAAAATATTTCTGGACTATTGATTAATTTTTGTGAGTTCCTGGGGGCACTCTTTGGCAATATATATGCCAAATACTGCAGCCTTCTGTAGTTTTTATTTTTTCCTTATTTTTAAATTTTTATTTATTTATTTATTTATTGAATCACTGTGGGAAAAGTTACAAAGCTTTCAGGTTTAAATCTCGGCCATGCAATTATCAAACACATTTCCGTTCAGCAATACTTATTTTTCACCACGAAGAACCCCAGTAAACCCCGCCCTCCCAAACCTCCCAGGCAGATGAATTCTAGTTAACACTCTATCTACTTTGATTAGATTCATTGTTTTGACAAAAGATGCACCATTATTATTTAGAGTTTACAACCCCAAATCAGACATGCTAAAAAGGCCTTGTGAAGTCATTTGTTTTCTACAGCTGGTCACAAGAATCAAATGATGTCGTGCGGCCGCTATTGCGGCTGCACGATTTTGGATTTCTGGTATTTTACTTATTAAGCCTGGAAGTATTTCTGCTGAGAGTCAGATAATTATGAGATTGGTTTCTGTGCTCTGGAGCCATGGCCGTGCCGGGGAGCCGCTAGTGGGGGGCAACTTGTGACCTCGGTAGGGTGTGAAGGACTAGCTGGGAACGCCCCCCTTCCCATGAGGTTTCAGACGCCCCCATCACGACCGGCTCATACCTGGCTTTCCATAAAGCTCCGAAGCAGCTGCCCTCTTTCTTTCCAGAGGGAAAAAGGAGGACTTCCTTATTTTTTTAAATGTCATTTATGCTGACTGAATGAGTGACTTAAAAAAATCTAATCATGGGACTGGAGTACAATGGGAGGGCACTTTCTTTGTCTGCTGCCAACTCAGGTTCAATCTCTGGCATCTCATATGGTCCTCTGAGCAATACCAGCAGTGATCTCTGAGTACAGAGTGCAGTGTAATCCCAGAGCACCACCAAGTGTGACCCTCCCCCAAAATAAATAATTAAGATAAAGCACTCTGGGAAGTGTACACTGGTGGAGGGATGGGTGTTGGAACACTGTACAACTGAAAACTTTTATTACTTTAAAGGAATGCTTAGTGTTTTGCTCTGATTTTTGATCGTTGAAACCATGAAGCATATAAATGGATAGACATGGAGCATATCATACTAAGTGAAATGAGTCAGAAAGAGAGGGACAGACATAGAAGTGTGGAGTATAGAATAACATAATTTGAGGCTGACACCCAAGGACAGTAGATACAAGGGCCAGGGGAATTGCCCCATAGCTGGGAGCCTGCCTCATGAGCTGAGGGGAGAAGGCAGATGGAATAGAAAAGGGATTACTAAGAAAATGATGGCTGAAAGAATTGGTCGGGATGGGAGATGTGTGCTGGAAGTAGATAAAGACCGAACATGATGACCTCTCAGTGTCTGTACTGCAAACCATAAGGCCCAAGGTAGAGAGAGAGAGTATGGGGAAGATTGTCTGCCAGTGAGTCAGGGGCGGGGGAGAAGTGGGAATACACTGGTGGAGGGATGGGTGTTTGATCATTGTGTAATTGTAACCCAAACATGAAAGCTTGTAACTATCTCACAGTGATTCAATAATGTTAAAAAAAGAAATCATGAAACATTTTTAGTCTCATATTGATTTCCTTCATGTTTTTTTCTTAAATCAGTGCCTATAGCAACAAGATGATAGAGTAGAACTCATTGAGAAAAGACTTAAAAATGATTGTCATGACCAAGAGCTATAGAGCTTCAAGTGGAGGACTCAAGAAGAGTTCCTCCATTTAGAAAATGCTCCAATCTAATATGTACTCACAGTGATGAGGACCTGTATGCTTGTTAATCACTCTCATTGATTTTCCCAAAGGTGTCTCTGCTCAGTGGAACCACACAACGTAACAGGGGCTGTGGAATTCCTCCTCCTGGGACTCTCCGATGATCCCCAAGTACAGCTTCTTCTCTTCTGCCTCTTCCTGTCCATGTACCTGGTCACCATCACGGGAAACCTGCTCATCATCCTGGCTGTCAGCTCCGATCCACTCCTGCACACCCCCATGTACTTCTTCCTCTCCATCCTGTCCACCACTGACATTGGCTTTACCTCCACCACAGTGCCAAAGATGATTTGGGACATTAACACTCAGAGCAGAACCCTCTCTCGTGCCGGCTGCCTATTGCAGTTTTCACTTTTTTATTTCTTTGCAAATTTGGACAGTTCCATTCTAGGTGTAATGGCATATGATCGCTTTGTAGCAATTTGCCACCCCCTGCACTACCCCATCATCATGAACCCCCGCCTTTGTAACCTGTTCCTTCTGATGTCTGTTTTTGTCAGCGTTTTGGACGCCCAGATACATTGCCTGATGATATCACTGCTAACATATTGCTCTCATGTGGAAGTCCCTCATTTCTTCTGTGACCCCCCTCAACTTCTGAGGCTTGCTTGTGAGGACACATCCACTGACAAGCTACTAATGTATTTTATTGGTGCTATCTTTGGTGGTGTTCCAGTCTCAGGGATCCTGTACTCTTATACAAGAATTGTGTCATCAGTTTTGAGAGTCTCATCTACAGGGGGGAGGTCCAAAGCCTTCTCCACCTGTGGCTCTCACCTGTCGGTTGTTTGCTTATTTTATGGAACAGCGATTGGGGTTTACCTCAGCTCAGCTGTCTCCCATTCTCCCAGAAATGGTACGCTGACCTCAATTGTGTACTCTATGGTGGTCCCCATGCTGAACCCCTTCATCTACAGCCTGAGAAACAAGGACCTCCAGAGAGCCTTTCAGAAATTTCTCAGTAGGAAAACTTCATCTTAATAGCACTGTAGCACTGTTGTCCCATTGATCATTGATTTGCTTGAGTGGGCACCAGTAACGTCTCCACTGTGAGACTTATTGTTATAGTTTTTGGCGTATCAAATACAACATGGGGAGCTTGCCAGGCTCTGCCGTGTGGGCGGATACTCTCAGTAGCTTGCCAGGCTCTCTGAGAAGGATGGAGTAGTCAAACCCAGGTCGACCTCATGCAAGGCAAACGCCCTACCCTCTGTGCTATTGCTCCAGCCCTTAATCTTAATATTGTATTTTTTGAAAAAACCATATGATTAGAAATAATTGAAAACACCAGATTTGAAATTAGCAAAGAAGCATCCCTGATAACATGATCATACAACTGTTTTTCCATGCTTTCATATTTCCTCATCAATTTTACTGAAAATTTAAAATAGCTTTTTTAGCTCTGCTCTAATAAGAATATTGGGGTATTCTGCAAGAGTCAAAAATCACTTCCAAATTCTGTCAACCTTAGAATAATTATACTTGTCACCCATGACTCAACATTTTGAAATGCAGAATCACCATTATATAACTATATACTTTATAAATAAATGTTACTAAACGTTTCCATGACTCATTTCCATGTTCATGTAAAACTGACCCTGATCAAATCTACTGCTTCAGGTTATATGAGAGAATGCAGGGTACGATTACTCAGTTTGGTTGCATATAGGAAGCATCAGGTTTTATTAAGGGGGGGTGTTAGTATTGGGAGTCACAATCACTACTCCTGGCATTGTTAGGGAATAATACAGTTCAGGGCACCCACAGGCAAAGCATGCACTCCTGCATCATAAAGCAACATTAGTGCCCAGGAAATCAACAGATAGATACATGCTTTAAATGCTAGAATTGCCAATTCAAGCCCCAGATCTTCTCTGTCCCATGAGCACTAACTGGAGGTCTTTCCCGTCTCCCACCGAGAAAATCGGAAGGGAAGAGAGGGGTGAGCAGTCATCCATGGTTGCTCTGTTTCCTGCCTGGATCGAGTTGGTATCCTGACTGAAGCTCACACTTCCGGATTTATAGAGCAGCATCGGATTTACAGAGTAGGGCAGCCAGGTGAAGAGGTCATGGCACAAAACCAGATAAGGGGTCATACATAGACTTACAGAGGTCAGGTTCAGAATTCAGTAAGCGGTGGTTGTTGATGCATGGGCCAGGGTGAGAAAAGAAAAGAATGTCTGCAACCGGAGTAAGGGCCGGGTCTGGAGCACCGTCGTGATAGGTCAGAAAACTTACCTGGGGAAGACGGAAGGACAGATGAGTAAAGTGAAGCATTTGCTTTTCTCTCTTCAGTACATTTTTGATGTTTCATGGCATTATGTTGGCTTGCATAGATCCAGATAGAAAGTCTTTCCTCGCCTCTCTCATGAGTTGGTGGAGAAGGCAGCAGGAATAGAGAAGAGATCACGAAGTCAATGATGGTTGGGGATTGTTGGGGATGGGAGATGTGTGCTGAATGTAGATAAAGGACCAAACGTGATAGCCCCTCATATCATTATGGTTTGTGTTGCAAACCATAATGCCCAAAAGTAGAGAGAGAGTATGGGGGAAATTGTCTGCCATAGAAGCAGTGGGAGGATTGGGATGGGCGTGGGTGGGAGGGATACTGGGGATATTGGTGGTGGAAAATGTGCACTGGTGGAGGGATGAGTGTTTGATCATTGTATGACTGAAACTCAAACATGAAGGCTTTGTAACTGTAGCTCAAGATGATTAAATAAAAAAAATAAAAAAAAGGAAAGTCCTCAGCACCCACCCCCCCCAGACAGACAGGAAATTCTTTTTTTAAAATTAATTTTATTGAATCACCTTGAGATAGTTATAAGCTTTCATGTTTGGGTTACAATTACACAATGATCAAACATCCATCCCTCCACCAGTGCACATTCCCCACCACCAATATCCCCAGTATACCCCCCTTTTCCCACCCTCCCTCTGCCTCCATGGCAGATATGATTCCCCATAATCTATTTATACTTTTGGGCATTATGGTTTTCAATACAAACCATAATGATATGAGGAGCTATCACGTTTGGTGTACAGTTTGATTTGCAGTACAGACCCTGAGAGGTTATATGTTTGGTCCTTTATCTACTTTCTGCACGCATCTCCCATCCCGACCAATTCCTCCAGCCATCTCTTTCTTAGTGATTCCTTCTCTATTCCAGCTGCCTTCTCTCCTTTGCTTATAAGGCAGGCTTCAAGCTATGGAGCAATCTATCTGTCCCGTGTATCTACTTGTCCTTAGGAGTCAGCCTCATGTTATGATGTTTTATACTCCACAAATGAATGCAGTCCTTCTTTGTCTTTCTTTCTGACTCATTTCACTTAGCATGATACTCTACATGCCTATCCATTTATAAGCAAAGTTCATGACTTCATCTCTCCCAGACAGGAAATTCTTATCTTAAAAACCTTACTGTTTCCATATCAGGAATTCACACATGGCAGAGAAGGGCTCAAGGATAAAAAAAACCAGGCCATTGTCCAGTGGAGGCAGGCAGATGGCACAGGACAGTCCAGGTCATCATAACCTGGACTGGACCTGGGAGGACAGATCTAGTGACATGGTACATGTGTCAAAGGAGAGGTCTGGACATTGGGATCAGAACACTTTCTTTCTTTCTTTCTTTCTTTCTTTCTTTCTTTCTTTCTTTCTTTCTTTCGGGCCACTCCCAGGAATTCTCGCGTTATTCCTCATGCACTCAGGAATTACTGCTGGTGGTGCTCAGGGGACTGTATGGGATGCTGGGAATCGAACCCAGGTTGGCCACATGCAAGGCAAAAGTCCTACCAGCTCTGCTATCCCTCCAGCCCTAGAACCCATCTTTTAAACTCTATAATCAATTCCTTGTGGGCTGGAGCGATAGCACAGCGGGTAGGGCGTTCGCCTTACAAGCGGCCAACATGGCCGACCCGAGTTCGATTCCTCCGCCCCTCTCGGAGAGCCCGGCCAGCTACCGAGAGTATTCGATATGCCAGACACAGTAACAACAAAGTCTCCAATGGAGACGTTACTGGGCCCGCTCGAGCAAATCGACGATCAACGGGGGGGCCTTTACTTTTTAGGGCCTTTACTAATCAATTCCTTAAGGTTCTGAGTTTTGTCTGCAGGTTTTTCTTACACGACTCAGGAACCCATAAACTCAGGAATAAGGTAACAGGGATACAGGAAGCCTGCCCAGAGGAAAGATGTCACTATAACCCCCATGCTCTTCATCTCCTGTGATCATGGTATTTTGTAAAATTATCCCTTCATTGCATTTTGGGTCTAGTATTTGTGTTTAAGCTACAAAGCACTAGGAGGAAAATGATTGAAAAATATTTCAAATAATATCTTTCCCTAGGATTTGTCGGCACTGCAGCGAAAACAAATGTCTATTTAGAAATCTGGACACATCCAAAACACAGATTCAAGATTCAACAGAACTGAAAATATGAGATCTAAGAGGCAACCACTGAAACTTTGTCATGTGTCCATCATGTTGATAGGCGGAAGTGGAGTAAGGGTTGGCGCTGGGAAAGAATCTGGGCACACCGGTGGAGAGTAGTTGACAATGGTGGAGGTATTGGTGTTGAATCATTGTACACCTAAAAGGCAACTATCAGAAACCTTGTAAATCATGACTCCTTAACAGAACAATTAATCAAACAAACAAAAGAGCCAAACCCAAATCAACCAACCAAACAAAAAGTACATAAGCAATTACCTAGTTTGAATGCTATAGAAAAGAAAAAGAAGTTTAGGTACATACTCTGATAGCTTTTTAAAAAGTGCCTGCAACAAATAAGTAGCACTGCACTGTAGTACTGTCCTCTCGTTGTTCATCAATTTGCTCGAGAGGGCACCAGTTACTTCTCCATTGTGAGACTTGTTGTTACTGTTTTTGTCATATTGAATACATCACAGGGAGCTTGCTGGGCTTTGCTGTGTGGGTGGGATACTCTTGGTAGCTTGCCGGGCTCTCCGAGATGGAAGGAGGAATCGAATTTGGGTCAGCTGCATGCAAGGCAAATACCCTGCCCACTGTGCTATCAAGTCAGCCCAACAAATAAGTAAATAAAGCAAATGCTATTTCTAATAATAGTACAGTGTGTATCCATAAAAGATTTAAACAAAGGTTACTTAAAAAAGGAAAAGCTTCATAAAATGAAATGAAAAGGTTTGTATTTACTGAGAAAATGGAGATAGTTCTAGACTTTTAGTGTAGATGTGTATTTTTACCAGTTTGCATGATTCAATACACTTTAGATATCCAAGTCAAAAGATCATAGATTCAATATTCAAAGAGACTCAATCTTCAGATGTTTAAACTTGAAGACCCATGCAGCAAAGTATCCAAGTAAATTTATTTGGAAAGAAGAAGATTCTTTGACACTTCCTAGTAATTGTTGCATTACCCACTTCTCCATCTGCTTCTATTAGGAGGCCCTCAGAGACTGGACTAATAAGGAACACTGGCTCTCACCCAGAGTCCTATGACTGATCCCCCAAGGTCACAGAGGAGTAATAAGGACTCATCTTTGAAGCCCTGGAGGGTATTTCTCAGTGAGGCTCCTACCTGTGTCCCCTTTCACCACCATCATCTGTGCAGGTTCATGCCAGGTTCCTCCCCATCCTGAGCACAGAGTCTTAGCTCCCAGCACTCATGAGCGAGAAGAGAGCCGGGGCCCAAGCTCCAAGCATGAGCCAGCAGAGACCGAGCAGAGACCAGTGAGTGGTGGGTGGGGGCGGTTGGTCCTGACTCTTCCTCCTATCCCAGACAAGTGGGACAAGGATACAGACATGGGGGACGCCACTTGCATTGTTTCTGTACACAGGGAGCTCATATTTGCTTTTCCTGTTGGGGCTTTCAATCTCTCATGAGAAACCCTGCTCTCTGTACCAGCACTTCTTACTTCAATTGCCTTGCCCAGTTGGAACAAAAAAGAATCTCTCCAAACTCTTCCCAAGACAAGCCAAAATGTTCATGGAT